TGAAGGCTAAATTATCTACAGCGCCAGTTTTAACTATTCTGAGCAACGACAGGACATTTGTGGTCTACACAAATACATCATTGGCAGAGTTAGGAGACGTTTTGATGCAGACTCAGAGAGTAGTAACATATATCTCGCAGCAATTGAGAGTACATGAGCAGATCTATTTCCACTTATGACTTGGAGTTAGCAGCAGTGGTATTTGCACTGAAGTCATGGAGACTTTACTTATATGAAGTACAGTTTGAATTATTCACAAACATCAGAGTCTTAAGTATCTTTTTTCTCAGTAGGAACTCAACCAGAGACAAAGGAGGTGAATTGAGTTTATCAAGGACTACGAGTCTGCGATTCAGTATCATCTAGGGAAGGAAAATGTCGTAGCAGATGACTTGAGTAAGAAACGTCAACATGTTGGTTATGCCAGCCAATGCAGAGCTTAAGAGGGAGTCGCTAGATGAAGCATATCGTACTCGGTACACAGTGCATCCAGAGACCCCTAAGATGTAAAAGGACCTAAAGAGACACTCTTGGATAGAGTGATATGGGTTGGAAGATTTCAGAGTATGTAGCTAAGTATCTTACCTGTCAGTAAGTAAAGGCAGAACATCAGAGACCGACAGGAACACATCAGCCTTTACCCATTTCGGAGTAGAAGTGGACGGACATTTCTATGGACTTTATTGTAGGGTTATCGAAGTCGAAGAAAGAGAATGATTCGGTTTGGGGTGATAGTTGATAGACTGATAAAGTCAGCACATTTTATTCCAGGGAGGATATTTATTCAGGAGACTATTCAACTTCGTGGAGTTCCAGATACGACAGTATCAAATTGAGACGGATTGTCAGACGGAGAGAGTAAATCAGATGTTGGAAAACAAATTGGGGGCTTGTGTTATTTGATTTTCAAGGTAGCTGGGAGGATTATATTTCATTGATAGAGTTCGTTTAGAACAATAATTATCAAGTGACAATTGGTATGACCCCGTATGAAGTATCGTACAGGAGGCCTTACAGATCGCCTATATGTTGGGTAGAGCCGGAGAAGAGTTTAATACTTGGGCCAGAGCTTATGAGACAGATTACTGAGGAAGTAACATTGACCAGAGATCGGATTCTAGCCATTTAGAGTCTGACCAGAGATCGGATTCTAGCCATTTAGAGTCGGCAAAAGAGCTATGCTAATAAGAGATGAAAACCCTTAGAGTTTCAGATTGGAGATTCGGTTAGGCTGAGGGTATCGCATGTGAAAGATGTTTAGCAATTCGGGAGACAGAAAAAGCTTACGCCGAGATACATTGGACCGTATCAGAATTTGGAGAGCATTGAAGCTGTGTCATACAGACTAGATCTTCTAGCATCGATGTCTAGTATACACAATGCATTTCATGTTTCTATGCTTAGGAAGCACTTTCATGATGTAGAGCAGCAGCGAATGATGAACGCACTGAAGATTTAGCTTTAGAATGATCTGACTACGATTGAAATCCAAGTTTGTATGCTTGCTAGGGAAGACAAGAAATTTAGAAACAAGATTTTTTTCCTTTGTGGCAATTCAGCGAAACCGGAAAGGAGTTGAGGAGGTTCTTAGGAGCGCGAGGAGGGTATACATCGCGACTACCCATACCTGTTTGATCTAGTAAATTAAATTTTTGTAGGACTTGTTTATGGCTTATGGTTGCATGTATGGCGATGTTTATACTTAACACTAAAAAAATGAGAGTATTACCACTTATCTCCTAAGTACTTGGAACATATGGTATATATATAAGGGGTTCATTGTTTGGATTTTTCGCTCGATGTACTTGTTCCATTTAGTTAGGTGTTAAGTAGGGGTATTTACATTTTAGATGGTTAAGTGTAGACATCGAAGATGATTTTCAGGAGCACAAATATGTTATGTCGCGCGACTTCCTACACCTATTGAGGAAGTGGATCGATTTATGTGTGCGATTATTTGTGTGGTTATATTTAGATTTAACGCTAGAATGAGGATATTTCCGCTTAATTCTTAATCTTTTAGAACACATGGTATATATATGGGGGGTTCCTTGTTTGGATTTTTCGCCCGACGTACTAGTTCCATTCGATTAAGGGTTGAGTGGGAATATAGTCATCCTGGATTGTTAAATATAAATATCCCTATATGCTTATCAAGAGTAAATATTCAGAGATATTTATATTTGTGGGTTAAATTAGATCCTCTACGTGCTTTTCTAGTATTAATATTTGCTTAAGTATGATTTCTGAATTTCGAGGACGAAATTCTTTTAAGGGGGGAAGAATGTAAAACCCCAAAAATTTGAATATTTTGTGATAAATAATAATAAATATGTTATATATTTATAAATAACATATTATGATATTTAAGTATACTAGGAATTATTTTGAGATCAATTCAATGTATATATGTATATATAAGAGCAAATGCACAATTCATATTCGATGTATAAATCTGGAAATTTATGACTAGCGGAGAGATTTTGTATTTTTCTCATCGATGTAGTTGGAATTTAGAAAAACTTAAAAGGCAAAAATTGTAGGTATCTTCAACAGATTTCCAACAAATCTTTAATCACCTCATTCGGAGATCAGATGAGAAAGTTATGGCCAAAATACCAAAGGTTATTTTCCTAGTCAGATTAGGATTCCTGGTTCGGGTCAAACGGGTTTATTTCGGGTTTGCATATATATAAACATGTGTTTTCACAAAAATTAACATCCTTACATTAGAGTTTCAAACCTTAGTAGCCCCTCTTCCTCTCTCTGAATCCCTAGCCCTAAAGTTGAGAATTTTGAGAGCTTTGTGAAGCAAATATCGACACGAGGGCGAGATCATCAACGTGTAGCACGGGGGAAACGGCTTGGTTATACTTCTTTTTGGTTGCTGGTTATTTCAGAGGCTTAGAATGACATCTAAGGCAAGATTATCTTCATCCAAACCCTTCCCCATAGTTAAATAACTAGTTAGATGTTTAATATGATGTTGAATATGTGTTTTCATGCTTGAATCTTAACATGATGTGATAAAAGTTAAATTTTGATGTTAAAACATAAATCAATTTCTAGATTAGTAATTTTTTTCTTGCTGTCTATGATAGTATCATGATCATGATCATTAGGATTTTTCATAATTTCATTTATATATGAGAAATTTAAGAGATGTACTAAATAAATATTTTCTGCAGAATCTGTAGCAATTGTATCATGTTTAACTAAGATTTTGAAATAGAAAATAAACTCCAAATTTAACCAATGCCAAATGAAATATACATGTATCTAGTTTCTAAAACATAAAACCATTCTTAAAAAGAGTTTGTATAGAGAAAGATATGTTATATTTACTAACAACATGTCCTGCAGAAAAGGATGCACATATATGATGTTTAACTGGAGATTTGGGATAACAAATGAACTCCAAACTGAACCAAACTTATGTAATTTAAAAGATGTGTGAATCTAGTTTTCAAAACAGAAAACCATTTGTAAAAATAGTTTTTCTAGAGAAAGATATGCTTATTTTACTAACAGATATCATGTCTGTTTTTCCTGCTCGTTTTGTGGAGCTGTGTTGCGCCGTTTTGAGGTGCGTTCGCGGAGTTTTGAGCCGCTTGATGTTGCACGTTTAGTCATGAATATGTTATGTTATACATTTAAGAACCCCAAGGGGATTATGATAAATTTTAATTTGATCATATTTGAATTAAATATAGTTCATATACATGTTGGATGTCGTTGATGAGCACAGCTCAGTACTATATGGGATAGTGCGTCGACATTCCAAATATACATGGTTTATACATGAGCTGAATGTTGTTGATGAGCATAGCTTAGTACTATATAGGATAGTGTGTCGACATACCTGAGATACAAAGATTTATATGAGGTGGATATCGTTGATTAGCTTAGTTTAGTACTACATGAGGTAGTGCGTCGATATTCTATATGTACAGGCCATTGAGTCGGATTTTAGGAGGCTTGATCAACCTATCATTGAACTATATGACTGAGATATGTTACTTTTGAAAGTATACAAAATTATGTGTTGGTATTTTTATTCTATCTCTCCAGTGATTGTGGAAGATATTATAAATACGATGTGTTGATATCTTATTTCTTTTACTGTCTTTTTTTTCTTAGTTGGGATCAATGATTAGAGATTCTAAATTTGAGACTTATGGTATATACATGAGGGTTTCCTTGTTTGGATTATTTCGCTCGACGTACCGGTCTCATGTTATGGATTTCTAATTGTTGGTTTCATTAGATTGTTTTTTCTTAGTTCGGTATTAATGTTTAGATATCTACAATTTGAGACTTATGGTATATACATGAGGGTTTCCTTGTTTGGATTATTTCGCTCGACGTACTACGTCTCGTGTTGTAGGTTTCTAAATGTTAATCCCACTTAGATATGGGGAAAATGAATCTAGGTAGACTATGCTTAATAGATAGAGCCTCCACTCCATCTAGCAGCCCTTCCCCTGGGGGCGGATGAAGGTAATCTTGCTGTAGTACTCTGACGCTATTGTTGTTGTTTCTTTTTCTTTTAAAAATACCCTTTCAGGTAGCTCGGAGTTCCAGAGAGCCGCAGGATGACGGAGTTCTTACATAGTCGCCGTCCCGAGAGATTTATTAGAGGCTCCACTGTAGTTTTAAATTTTATTCAGACTTAGAGTTAGTTTCATTTTGTAAAGGCAATGTGCCTTAGTTCGACTTTTTATTTTGATTCATGTTGAGACATCGTATGTTATTTCTGACTCCATATGTATTCCAGTTTATTTTCAGTTGAGACATGACCTTTATTTATGAGATATCATCCTCTTTATCATGTCTATTATTATTGTTCTACTTCTTTGCCTGTTTTGTACCTATGCTTTTATTTGATCCCACTAGAGGATATTACTGTGATTGATGAAACTTGTTGTTACACAGTGTGGGTGCATGGCAGGTTTGACATCTCTGGGTTCACCTTGGACTGCAGCCATGTGTGAAAACAGGTGCGTCACAGATACTTCCTTGGGATAGAGATAGCTCATGGATCTAAGAGGATTGTTCTCTCCCAGAGAAAGTATGCACTAGATCTTCTTGCAGAGACGGGGATGTTAGGGTGCAAGCCTACTGCTACATCGATCGATCAGAGCTTCAGGCTAAGTGCTGAAATAGGAGAAACTGTTGATCGTAAGAGATATCAGAGATTGGTGGGCAGGCTACTCTACCTGAGTCACACACGTCCAGACATCTCATTTGTGGTAAGCGTGGTGAGCCGCTACATGCATGACCCAAGTAAGGGCCATATGGATGCAGTATATCAGATACTGAGGTATCTGAAGGGTGCCCCTGGCAAAGGACTAAGATTCAGGAGGAGTGGCCATGTGAACATTGAGTGCTACTGTGACTCAGATTGGGCTAGCTGCAGAGATGATCGGAGATCTACCTCAGGGTATTGCATATTTGTGAGAGGCAACTTAGTCTCCTGGAAAAGCAAGAAGCAATCTGTGGTGGCGAGATCAACAGCTGAAGCAGAGTACAAAGCCATGGCCTTGGGGGTGGCGGAGTTGATGTGACTAAAGAACATGCTGGTGGAGCTAAACCTTGACCAATGGACCAAGATGAGTTTGTGGTGTGACAACAAGCCAGCTATCAGCATCGCCAACAACCCAGTTCAGCATGATAGAACTAAGCATATCGAGATTGATAGATTCTTCATCAAGGAGAAGTTGAACGATGGGTTCCTGGAGTTAGGCCATGTTCCAACTAAGGAGCAGGCTGCAGACTGCTTGACTAAAGGGCTTAGCTTAGTAGATCTAGCTATAGGGTGTGACGAGATGGGCTTAATAGATATCTTTCGCTCATCTTGAGGAGGAGTGTTGAAAAGAGAATGTAATTAAGTAATATTAGAGGGGGTTTTATGTAAATGTGGGTGTAAGGCTATATAAGCCAAGCCATTCTATCAATGAAAAGAAATCCTAAAACCCCTAATCTATCAATACTTCTCACAATAAGGCATGTTTGAATTTCAATGAGGTTAAGGGAAGTTAAGAAAAAATAGGAGAAAGAAAAGAGAAGGGAAGGGGATGAAGTTTTCTTCCCCTTAGTTACGCCCCAATTTGGGGGGTAACAAAATTTATCTTATTAGGGGGTGAACAGAGGAGAATTAGGGTGACTAACTTCACATTCTAAATGTTCCCAAACATGATGAATGATTCTCCTAACTTTCCTTCGCCCCTATTCCCCTCAATCCAAACCCAAAAAAAAAAACCCCCACACACACACCCCACGCCCCTCTCTACTTCTCTCTAAAAGCCAATAAACCATGAGATTGATCAATTGCCCTATTTCCTAACTCCAGCAAAATCATATTGATCTCTCTCTCTCTCTCTCTCTCTCTCTCTCTCTCTCTCATCCCACTTATTGCATTTACTATTCAGATCTCCATCTCTTCCACTCTTCCAAGCCTACTAAATGAAGATATTAAATTTACAATGCATATTTGTTGTATAAAGAGCTCTTGGCTGATTTTATGAAGAAAAGAAAGTGAAGTTATTGATTGTGAGTACCTATTTTGGTTTATCTTTGATATTTTAGTTTTATTTGGTTCTTTGATTGATTTACAATAAGTGGGGTTTGGGGTGTTTAGGGTTCGATTTGGTATTATAAATTGTTATCATAATTAACTTGCTTCTTTTATTTAATTATAAAAGTTTAACCTAGGATGTTTGTTCTTCTTTTGTAGAGGAATTGCTGTTTGTTGTCTTCTTTTTGTGTTTATAAATTTCATTTTTTGGTCTTTCTCTCGGCGTTCGTTGGTTTGGTTTCTCAAAGCATCAGTCACAACAAAATATATATATATATATATATATAGAGAGAGAGAGAGAGAGTAAAACTTATGTCAACTTAAGTGGATGGTCCATCAAAGTTTATATCCCTTGATGTTGCCTAGGGATCCATCAAAGTTTAGATCTCTCTCTCTCTATATATACAATATGATTGCGGTGGAATTTATTAGTTTAAATTTGTTTTATAGTAATTTAGCTTGTTCTAGTTAATTTGGTTCTTATATATTAAATTCTTTTTATTGCTTTCACAAAATTTCAAGAGTAGTTTCATTTTCTGATCTTATGTCGTTCAGTGATGATGGAAAGTATTTGCTCTCATAATCTTTACTACGTTGCTTTTTTTTTTAATTTTCATGCTTTTATTATTTTTGTTTATTATTATTTCTTTTATGAATGCCACAAATACACATGATCAAAGTCGACATCTCGGCTCGATCACGCTTTGGCTAAGAGAATACTATTTTGAGTTGGTGATAAATTGGTTTATGTCAGGTCCTAGTTGCGAAAGGACATAGACACATAATTAACTTGGAAACAATCTCAACCAATTAAATATTCTAATTGATTAGGAATCCCACATATATGATAATTCAATTTGCTGACATAATCAATCATATGGCAATTCTATTTCCACCATGATTCTATTTCCTTGAGAAGCAATCAATTGGCTTTGTGTGTGTGTGTGTGTGTGTGTGTGTGTATACAGCGTCATCTGAGATTAAATTATCATTAATCTACGGAGCACCAATCAATAAGAGAGAGTTCCCTTATGAAGAATACTTCATATTTTTCTCTTTTGTTCCTTTATTGGAGAGAGGTTGTATTAGGCTTTTGAGTTGTAGCAGGGAATGAGTGATTCAGAGATCTCCACATTATATTCCTCACAAATTGTTAGTAAAGCTATTCTCCTCCTTCACCCATGGACGTAGGCTTCAAGCCAAACCACGTATATCCATGCATTTTTGTGTTCTTAATATTTTTCATGCTTTCATGTAATTGAAATTAGTTTATCCTGGGGATTTTGTCATAATAAATTGGTATCAGAGTCCTCAGCTATCAATCAGACGAGAAGATGATGACAACCACTATGAAGTGGGATAACGAGAATTTTGTCGGCAACATCAGTTTTAGCTTTTGGTAAGTTAGGATGATTGCCATGTTGACACAGAGTGGATTGAAGAAGGCTTTATTCGAGAGGTCGTAGAAACCGGCTAACATGACAGAAAAAGATTTGAATAAGTTGGATGATAAAACTCTCACAGTGATCCAGTTATACTTGACTAATGATGTTTTGTAAGAAGTTCTCACAGAGAAGACAGTCGCTGATCTATGGTCTAAGTTGGAAGATTTATATTTGACAAGGTCACTCACTACTCGCCTCCTCTTGAAGTAGTGTTTATACACACTTCAGATGTCGAAAGGTACACCCATCAAGCCTCATATTGGTGAATTCAATTTTGTGATTACAGATTTAAGTAAGATTGATATTAAGATCAATACTAAAGATCAAGCCCTATTATTATTGTGTACTTTGTCGCCTTTCTGCAAGCACTTTAGGGATACTATGATTTACGGTCGAGATTCTATTGACATCAAGGACGTCAAAGAACTTATTAAATAGGGTAAGATTGACAAAGAGTTAACCACAAGAAAAAATGGTGATAAAGTTGATAGCTTATTTGTTCGAGGAAGATTAGAAGAAAGGGGCTTTGGAGGTGACATGTATAAGTTGAAGTATTGGAATTTGAACTGCTGATATTGTAAGAAGAAAGGGCATATCAAGATCGATTGTTACAGGTTGAATAACAAGAGGAAATTAGAAGAGTATGAAAAAAACCAAATGAGGACTTCGCTAAAGTTAGTAGTGCTAAAGATGTGATTTTATTGGTTACTGATGATAAAACCAGGAGCACTGAAGATTGAATTTTGGATTCGGTTTGTTCCTATCATATTTGTCCTTATTAGGACTGGTTCACCACTTAGGAAGCTATTGATGGTGGAGTTGTTTTCATAGAAAATAGCGCCTCATGCAAAACTATTGGGAAGGGATAATTAGGATTAAGATGCATGATGGAATCATCAGGACTTCAACTGATGTTAGGCATGTTCTAGGTTTAAGAAAGAATGTTATCTCTTTGGACACTCTTCACAGTCTTGGGTGCAATTTTTCAAGTGAAGGTGAAATTCTTAGGGTTACAAAAAGCTCTCTTGTGATTATGAAAGGAAAAAAGAATTGTAGCTTGTATGTTTTGTAGGGTTCTACTATTACTGATTCAGCTGTAGCTTCATCATCAATATCTGGAGCAGATACTAGTAGATTATGGCATATGAGACTTGGTCATAGAATGAGCGTGGATTGGTCGAGTTGAGCAAGAGAGATCTTTTATGTGGATGGAATACATGAAAGTTAGGATTCTGTGAGCATTGCATCTTCGGGAAGCAAAAAAGTGTTAGCTTTAATAGGACAGTACATCATACTAAAAGTACTTTAGATTGTATTCATTCAGATCTTTGTGGACCTTCTCAAGTTGCCTTGAAGGATGGTAGTTCGAGATATTTGTTGACCTTTATTGATGACAACTCCAGGAAAGTTTTGATCTATTTTTGAGATATAAAGATGAGTTATTTGTGACTTTAAAGTAGTGGAAGTATTTGATTGAGAAGTAGACTGGAAAGCTAATTAAGAGGCTTAGAACACATAATAGCCTTGAGTTTTGTGGAGGAGAATTTAATGAGCTCTGCAAGAAGGTGGGAATTATTATACATCGCATAGTCCCTCACACACGACAATAGAATGGAGTGGTAGATCGTATGAATATGTATATTGTTCAATGCAGTTTTAGATAAGGAATACTAGGCAGAAGCGGTGATTATAGCTTGTTACTTAGTGAATCGGTTGACATCTACTGCTATCGGCCATACAACTCTAGACGAGATGTAGTCCGATAAGCCTACAGATTATTCTAATCTTACAATGTTTGGTTGCTCTGCATATGCGCATGTTAGTCAAGGGAAACTTGAGCCTTGAGTAAAGAAGTGCATATTCCTAGGTTACGCATTAGGTGTTAAGAGTTTTAGGATGTGGTATCCTAATCCAAAGTCTCCTAAGATTATTATCAGCTGTGATGTCACTTTTGATAAGTCTACCATGTTTCACAAAAAAATAGTCACTAATTTTAGTTAATGATAAGGCGCACACTATAGGATAGAATGTGAAGTTAGAAATTCATGATTCAGCTCTCCAGTAGGATAAGACTATGGGAGTTCAACAGCTAGATCCCTTTCAAATAAATGAAGCACCTCAGCATCTGTAGGAAGAGTGTGAATACAGTAGCCTATTGCTAGAGATTGATCTAGACGAGATATTTGACCACCATGAAGATATGAAGATATAGTAGTCTATGCATTGGTAGTAGATAATTTTGTGCCCTTCTACTATTCAGGAGCTACTTCAGGTGATGACTTTGCTATGAGTTGCGGTCGTCAAGTAGACAATTTATTCAATTTATTGAGGAGGCCTCTTTCAATTGGCAAGTTCAAGCTGAGCTTGGACTTGATCGATATGTGCCGCACTTGACACCTTGTAAGCTGTTGGAGAAGGTGGAGTAAATTAGCTTTTTGGAGTGAGGAATTATTAGCGCATTTGAGTCAATGTGGGGATTTGTTATGGATGCCTCAAATACACATGATCGAAGTCGGCATCTCGGCTCGGTCATGCTTTGGCTGAG